GTTTGATTAATTCCTAGGAGCAGGGGGAGAGGGGGATTTTCGTTCATATCGGACTGCTAAATCTCTTACCCAGAGCCTGCGTTCCGTCTGGCGTGCGGCGAAGAACGAGGGCTCTGGCATAATTGATTTTTTGAGACCAGGATTTCTTGGAATTCCAGTATAACAGCACACGCGTTCAAAGACTTGCCAAAAATTAAAAATATTTTTTCCCCCGAATTWTAATTCGTACTGATTTTTACTTTGATTTTGAGTTCGATTTAATTTTTACTTTGCTTATTTTGACCGTTTATATCTYACTTTCCGGAAATTGCGCATGCGCCAAAATATGGATTATGCCACAGCCCTCGTTATTCGCCGCAGGCCAGAAGAAACGCAGGCTCTGGGTACGAGATTGATCGGATCCCCAACCATGATATGAACCCGGGATGCGCATGCTTATGGTACGAGTTGGTGTATGTCAATAAACTTTATTTTTCACGAACAGTCTAAAACGTAAGCAGCCTTAATACCTTGCTATTAAATCAAATTGTGCCCAAACATCTTTCTGTGTTTTTTTTTTTTTTTTTTTTTTTTTTTTTTTTTTTTTTTGTTTTTTGGACGATATAGCAACTATTTTGGCCATGCACCGCCAGTCAGCGGATATCTTGAATAAAATATAAACCAAAGGAAGCCCAAGCTCTCTCAGGCCCGGACTTATAGAAACATAACTTTTTGCTACGGTATTCCTGTGCTTTAAAAGGTATCCTATTGCAAACGATGGCAAACGAGAGCTGAGGATTCAAGCTTTATTTTGGTACCAAACATGCCGTATTTTGCGAATAATCTCCAAGGTTTTTACTTCACAAAGTGCCTATTCTTGAAGAAAGGATCTCAAAAACTCGTCTCAAATCGGAGCTTTTTGAAAGTAAAAAACGAAAAGTATAAATTCGTTCAATCGACCACAGATTCGACATCAGTAGTTTAGAATCGTGTGTATTTTATGGATCGACCCCGGCAAATGAGGTAACTAGTTTTGATTTTGAGAAATCCTGTTCATAATATTTGACCTTTTGTGTTTTTCTTGCAATTTAACAAAGCACATATGTCAAGAAGGCTGTTAAAATCTAACTATCGAGACGAAAAGGTTTTTCCAAACAAATTAAAGTATGTTTGGTAAATTAAATGCTTTAATGTTATATAATATTCTTCTACCCCGGCAAGTGGAAAACTGTTTACACAGAAATTTATAAATCGAAAACTATCTTGACCGCTCTATACCAGTTTCTTTGTAAAATCTGACTTAACTCGCTTAACACTTACAAGTGACACCGCTGCATTTCCACACGGGCGCATGACCCGAATAGTTGGCGATGTTCAGGTTTTTAAAAGCAGTTTTCCTACTCAAGGTATTTCAGAGTTAAAAAACTGACTAATTTCTGCTGCATGAATACTTCTTTACCAAAGACGTAAACTAGTTCAAAGAGTCTCGGCACTGATTCATTGACGCTATGGAATTTCCTCGGACGGGAAATATAATTGTTCTGAACCGTCACGTGAGATGACGACAGCCATGTTGGATGACAGATACAATCAATCTTGGGCCATACGGACCCTTTGGACTAAATCCCTACCTGGTAGTCAAAACAATTGAACATCATAAAATATTTCAAGCATCAAGACAAAGGAATTCTTCATCTAACATGGCTGTGTTGACCTCTCGCATTATAACCGTGGCTAGCTGACCTGGGAGTTCGGAACAAACGAATGACTGACGAATTCAAAGTTTCGTCAGTTTATAACGAGTTTTACCCTGCACCAAAAACATGTGACTCCCCTTACATTGGGCGATAAATAACTGAGGTCTCTTGTTCAAGCCTTAAATGAGCCAAAAGAAACGGTATTTTACGGCAAAGTGGCTCGGCCACACTGGTGATTTGGAATTTGGCGAGCAATGCAGCGAAAATTTCCATGTAATTTTTCTATTGTCTGTTGTAAAAGCCCGTGTAAAATCGAATTATTTTACACTAAAAAATACGACATATGCTATTCATAAAATATATTTGGAGGATCGCGAGTAAAAGCTGTTGTTTATCGGGCTGAAAACCATGACTAGGAAATATTGCAGTACGAACAAAATATTCGCTGAAGCAGTAGCTCATTCGCTCGATCTGAGAGACTATTATTTCGTCGAGCATGCGCAGTCTGAGCTACGAGATTGGCTGAGAGATTACCTTGGATCGTTTATATAAGTGCTTGTCTGGGACTCAAGACCGCCGAATATTAATTTGTGGTGTGGGAAAGGCCCATATGAGAGTGATTACTGAATGTAAGGTCTGTTTTAATATCTACTTCAACATATCAATGTATTGTTTTCTGAGTATGTGACTAATATGTGATTAATTGAATGGAAAACAGTTTTGAAATTACTAACATATAGACTTCAGACTCCTGATATGGCTGTCGGTCAACTTATAACTTTAGGGGAAATTAAGCCTTTATCTATTGATGATTTTCAACCATTAAACAACAAGACACGGCGGTCATGTTGGAGGATATAATAAAAGAATTCATTGACAATTCTTTTGTTAAGTTCCTCCAACATTGTCACCGTGAAAACCATTAATTAGAGAGGTTCTAGATCTAGACCTCACTATAAAAGCTTGTAAATCAAATCATAAAATGTAACAGCTGATACGCAAAACAAGTAGAGTCAGGAGAAAAATTCATCAGTATTCAGCATGATTATGAAAAATATACAGCTAGTTTTCACAGGGCCAAGTACAACTACTCAAGCACCACTCACAACAGCAGTAGAAACAGCAGCAACAGTATCAGCAGATCAAAATAAGTTGTAACAGTAGCAGCACAGGAGTAGTAGAAGTAGTAAATGTAATTATTATATGACCGTGAATCTTAGAGCCTGCACACTAGCAAATCGAGCAATGTGATTCGATAGATCGTATCGCGGACTGGTCTAGATTCTCCGGTATTAACCGGTCCGATCGCATATTAATCTTACGGCGAAAACATTTTGTCCTTATCGATGAAAAGTGGTCATACAATAAAACTCTTATCAACCGAGCTTGGTCGGTCTGTACGGGATAATCTTGACCTCGGTCAAGATTATCCCGTACGGACCTCCCGCTCGGTTAATAAGATTTAAATATTAAAAGTGTGCAAGACTTTGGCGGCCATCTTGAATTCAAGCCAATGTTTTAAAGAAGACTTTATGTGATTCTGAGGGAGCAACTATGTAAGATATTGTATAAATAATTCATTTTATTGTATGGTGTAAATAAAGTCGTTGTTGTTGCGGTTTTTTTACCTTCGAAAACGTTTTATCATTAGTTGTCTCGCGACTCTGCCATTGCATGCACAAAAGCAGTTTCTGTAATAAAAATCATCATACAATATGGCCTTGCACTTCACATAACCTTTGAAAGCAAAGAGTTGGGGTTCTGGGCACACTTTGCACGGAACTTGGGTAGCGATTTTGGTTCAACAGTCAAAAGCTGGAGCAATTACAAACAGAAAACGGATCAATACAATGAGAAAAAAATATTGAAATATAAAGTGGGTTAAGAGCTCTTCTCATTATACTGTTTTATCCCAGGCAGGATTTGAAAACAAAAGCGCACCTCTGTTTACAGATTGATAATAAGATAAACGAGTAGTTTATTTAAAACGATAACGAATGTGAGAGTTTGAATCTTTAAAATATTTAAAATAAGAAAAGAAAAAGAAAAGAAAAAGAAAAGAAAAAGAAAAGAAAAAGAAAAGAAAAAGAAAAGAA